TTAGTCCACGTGTGTTAGCAAAAATTTAAAACTAACTGCCAATATTTAAGAATCTGGGGATTCCTCAATTAAAACCCAGACTTGCAAGTTCTCTTGAGAATGGGCCCCATTCTCGTGGCAACAATCAGTTAGAACTAAATAGCTGGATGGACAAGATGGACAAGAACTCTGGTTCACCACAATCTCTGTCTAGCCAACTTTTGAAACAAAAACAAGACACACAGCAGGGGGTGCAAATTTAGTTACTTACAAGGGCCAAGTGGAGACAGCATTAATCACTAGGTCATCTTATCTCAAAACAAGCAAATCAGCCCTAACAATAATCTGAAATATACATTTATGGGATAAGTTCCCACGCTCACCGCAATGGCTTAGTGTCCTCACTGCCATGACCATGGTCTCTTGCTCAGACTCTAATCTACAAGACCCTCATTATAAGAGCACACCAATGGCCAGCAGAAGCCCCATCTCAGTTCCATAACCACTCTGGATTTTTGTAGAGAACCAAAGGTAGCGCTAACAGCTTTGGAAAGGATAACAAACCAGGACGTAGACCCATACTTAGGTCAGCTAGCACTAGTCATCAAAAAACCAGGCCATTTACCCTCCCAATTGGTCCTCCTCCTCCCAAAATCCTAATCCTGGCTCTACCTAACCCACATTCCCCGATTAAGGGGAGGCTGTTCGCTGAACATAGGTCTTTACGCTGAAGTTCCTTTTATGAGGGGTGATACTACCCACCCAAGCTCTAGCCCCACTCACCCTCTCGTCCAGATCACTTTCCGCGTCACACTGGGGAGAAGGAAAGACAGAAGTATCACCAGAGGGAAGAGGCCAAGGCGGAGAGGGGAGGGGCCAGTACAGGTGGATAGCACTTACTATGTATCCAGCTTCCAGAGAGTGACGGGAGGAGGCCTGAGAAAGACCAGAGTCCAGAGGTAAGGGAGGCTGACTGGCAGGCAGCTGGATGAAGTCTCCACTCCTAGCAAGTACTCAAGGTCCCTCACGATCTGCTCTCAACCTCTTTCTAGCTGCTTCTCCTGATACTGCTCACTCCCATTCCCAATGCTCTTGCCATTTCTTAAATATACCAGGTTCTCACATTTTTGTGCTTTTGTTCAAACAACTTTTCCTAACCAGCAAACTTCTGACTATACTTCAGGACCTGACTAAGACATCCTAGGGGGGCTTTCCCCAACCACAACGGTCTTCCCATCCCCCAGGCAGAATGAGCGGCTTCCTCATATGGGTTTCTGCAGCATCTCTCCCAGACCTCTACCTTCCGTAGCTTCTCAATTGTGGATTGTTTCTTTCCTGCTTGACTGCCACCACCTCCGGGGAAGGGCAGGGACCACATCTAATTAACGATTCAACTAAGTCCCTTTGATGTATCTCTGAATTATCAACACGTTTGAAGTAAATACAGTACCAAGCAAAAGCAGGTGAGTCTGACTGCAGACAGGTCTTTGTCAGCCCTAGATAGGGGCGGAGGCTCAAATTTGCTTTGCTTTCCTCTTGCCCTTAGAGACTGGGATCACCATTCACAATGGGCAGTGGAATTGCTGAAGGAAAGCTGCTCTATGTGGATGACATTATGCCTAAAGAGTTTCGAAGAATGGAGATCTGGGACAAGCTCACCTCTTTCCTTCTCCGCTTATTGGGCCATTTTCGGGCCCGATCCCCAGGGGGCCGGCCAGGCTCCCGGTCAGAGCTGTCCCCTGGCTCCCCTGTGGCCCCACTGGAGCCCCCCCTCTTCCGTTTCCCAGAATGCTTCAGCCGATGTTCCAGTCGCTCTGGGGGCTGAAGAGATGCGTCCTTCTGTGGAGGAGGAGGTGGGGCTGAAGTGGATGGAAAAAGGAAAGCTCCCGACCTCTCTAGGGGTGACCAGGCTACCAAAGTGCCCCTCAGGCCGGGTAACCTGGCTGGTCCCTGGAGACTAGCTCTACCTCCTCCCCCCCCAGGGTGGGGCAGAGGCCTGGCCAGAGGAGCCGGTTGCTCTGGTTTGGGGTGCCAGCATTCCCCCCTCAACTCCACCCACTCTAGGCAACGTACCCTTCTCTCTGTCCCTCTGAAACCCCCACAGACCCCAAGTCTCATCAGGCCCCACCTGCAAGGCCTCGAGGCTGGCGAAGCTAGCGATGGCGAAGCCATCGATCAAGTCTTCCTCCTCTTCTTCCTCCTCTTCAGGCTCCTCCTCGGCTTCCCCGTCGTCTGCGCCCCCCTCCTCTTCCTCCTCTT